AAGCAGCAGGAGTTTGTCTTCTGTGTTGAATTTTTTTGATTGGGAGGTGTGAAACCAACCAAATGAATGATAGCGAAAGACTCAACATGGTCGGGGGTGGGTGTCTCGGGTTGTGGTTGATCGCCCTTCCTTTGCACCTCGCGAAATGCTCCCATACGACCAAGTGTCTCGAATAGCCTCTGCTGAGGAAACCCTACTCACTGCCTTCTCGTGGTGGTGTTTTCGCACCAAAGTGAGAGGACGAGGAGCCCACATCTGGAGCTATAGCCGGATTGGTGGACCACTGGTAATTCATCAAGGCGAGTTGGTTGAAAACCCGGATTCCAAACCAACGACGAAGAGGTGCAGGAACCACACATACCTTTCTGGTCGTGGCACTGGTCACTGGTTCGATTGGGCATCTTGGACGTTCGACCCCTTTCAAAGGGGTCCGAACGAATGGATTGTGATTTTCACACACACACACACACACACACACAACCCTCCGTTTGTCTGCCTCAGCAAACCCCTTGATAAGACAAACAGAACCAACAGATAACATCAGGCGATTACTGATCGAACAGGCGGAATTGAATGGCCGTGGTGAAAACCGATACTGTATCGAATAACATATGATAGGGACACAGAAAACGCAGCAAGGTGAGACATACCTCTTTATCGCCCAACGCGACGCGAACACGTACGAATCGTTTGGGAGATAAATCAATATTGGCTAACGGTTCCAGTCGGCCATGTTGTCGTTCTAATTCCCAATAACTGCAAGTCATACCGGGGGTGAGGAAGAAGTACAATTTAATGGTTAAAACTGAATTTCACACATTGAAGAAGACTTAGTGACAGAATTTCAGTTCAATAAGTTCTATGCGAAACAATATCTTCGGTCTGGTCCGGGGCAACCAGGCCGAGAAGCAATGTTGAGTAATTCGGTGCAATGAGCCAGTGGATCAGGTATCCGGTGAGTGCGAAGTATGAAAAAAACAATCATTCACACGAGACCTAGATTTTCCGATTTGAGGTCTCAGTCTTGCAGTTAACCTTGACAAGAGATGCGGCAGAGGACAAAAAAAAATTAAAAAACTGCCATTAAAAACAAAAAAACACAAAGAAAGAGCAAAATATAGAACAAGACGAGGGGGGCGAATTTTATATCCATATTCCATGACATGTTCGCGTCGGGTTATGGTGGTTTGTTTACAAAAGAGAGCTTGACCCCCCAGAATATGAACACAATAAAATAAGACAGGTGTATATCATTACCCTAGATTATAAACCGGTCAATTTCATCCGCCGATTGTGAATGTAACAGATCGTGACTGTGCAAAGTAACTCAACTCAACGCATAACAATAACCGACGTTGATCACAAGCTTGTCAGGCGTAACAGATTCAAGTGAATCAATCAATGAGAACGTAACAGGAATTCTCCCGGAAAAAGAAACTGAGATTTATGCTAATGAGACTCGGAAGCAGTAAATGAGCTGCATAAACTAACTGGATTTGGGAATAACTAACTCGTATTTGAATGCAGGAGCTTTCGCGAGACGAATAGTACACGTTTTGGATGATTGATACAGACAAAAACACGTAATGCATGAGGGGATAGATGTATGGCACGTAGAAACAAATTGAAATCGTTGTGGATATTTCTATTTGCATCGACTTAAGTGTACACAGATGTCCGCATTTCAATCAAAAATTACACATCATTTCATCGAAAGAAAGAAATAATACAAGTAAAACATTTAATCTCCAAGAATTCTGAGAAATTCAGAGCAATGTGTAACACAAACCGAATTTGCAGCTCGGGGAGTGGATTTGAGACGAACAAGTCTCGAATAATCATTGGGATGATTCTTTATCACGTGTTGTGGGTTTGGAAGCGTCTAACCTCAACCAACTCGACGCTAGGGCCGATTTTAAGTAGTTTTATAATGAGTAGAATAAGTTTCGAAAGAATCATTGCATTGTATAATTCACATCAGGAGTTCAAGTATAAGAATGATCAGACAGAAGACTACCGGACGCGCATACTTGACGAGCACCAAGGACCGCGAAACCGATCGTGTGCTTCTGGGGAACTTTATCCTGTCATTCATCTACTACTCATTATGAATTCAGAGTATTTTCCGATGATTGAGGACGAAAATGAGTTCGGACAAACAGAAACACCTGGACGACTGAAAGTGCCTGGAAAATGTACTAACAGAATGGTACAGCTCAAACACTGTAATTCAGATTAGTGTTCAGCTAGAAATCCGGCCAGAATAGCGAAAGACTGCTGATACGAGTAATAGCCGCACAGACCCGATGAAGGTGGGACAAAAGGAGAGGAGAAGCTTTTACAAATCGTCACAAAGACCACACTAATGATGTTCAACTGAATTTTGATATTTCAATGATATCCTGCTTGTCAAATCATTCATAACTCTATGCCGTATCATGAAGGCTTGGACATATGCGGAGCTTTTCGAGGCGGTCTGAATATAAATAACCTGTCACACCAAAACACCACCATGAAGGTGAGCTGTTTGATCGTAACAGGTAGTCACTGAGAAGATGTCCGTTACACGGCTGCTATTTTCCCGTGGAATACAATGAACGATAGATATTGTGGAGCTAATTGCACGAATTCCGACAGAGAGAAGAGGCCAGTTGCACGTAATCGATTACGTACACTGTGTATTCGAAGAAGCTCCAACTGCGCATCTGGCTTCAAGAAACGAACATCCAGGCATAGTATAGCACTGTTGCTGATTTATACAACCATGAAAAGCAAACGACTTTTTCCATGATACGGGTGTAAAAATACCGTGTGAAGTTCTATGCAAGAAATATTGCGCAGGCGGAGCGCTGCAACATCCCCCAGTTCTGAACAGGTTGATCACATGATAAATATAATTTTAAATCGAACCTGAAGAGAACCAGTTACGTTTGACCAAATCATCGGCCAGTAGAGAAACAAAGGTGCAACCCCATTGCACTGAGAAAACGCGAAGTTTTTCAGTCATTCAAGGAGAGGGGAATAAATGCCAATTTACATTTTTTTACATTTTCAAGCAAGTGGACAACCCACAAAATAATACCGCATGATCGAAGATATTTTTCGGTATTCGTAATGCGTTTACGTATCAAATTGTTTTCTTGCTTTTTTCCGTCTATCATTGGCCGCCGTTTCATTAAATTTGTTCAGTCCAATGGCCGATCAATTTGTTCCAAGGTCAGGTGGATGAGAAAAACAGATTGAATTGCCTAATTCCATTTTATCAAGGTCAATCTACCCGTAGCATGTGACACCGGCAAGCGGCGCATCGATCAACAGACAGCGTGGTGTGGTGTCCAAAATTCGGGAACAGGTCACAGAACACACACAGATCAGCTGATCGAGGACAAAGCGAGTATTGGTAGCACAGCTGACGAATACGATCTGCACGTGTGAAATACGCGCTTAGCCGGCAAGTCTAACTGCGCTCACGACAGCAACAAATAGGCGCTAAAGACAAGTTTAATCGTGTACCAAAGGTAATCAGAAGAGAACAGAGTTGAACAAATTTGTGCAGTGATTAATACCCAGATGGATGCAGATTAACGCACCAATTTGCATGCACCAAAGGAGAGTGGCATAGAAGTAAACACACTTTTTGTTCAGTTGAGCAAGAATATTGATTCAAGACTTGGCATTCACGCAGGGCAGATATCAGTCTAACCGTATTCTTTTTTAACTACAGATACAAAATGACTTCAGTACTGTACCGAAAGGAATAAACCCATATGTAGAGGTGCCATATTTAAATCGAAATCTCTTGTCATTAAAAAATAAAGCCCTAATTCCGTGTGGGTGCACATTAATATGTGTGGCAGTAAGCAATACACAGAGATATAAAATTGTCTACGAAAACCAAAATGAGCGAATGAATGGGAGTATTTGACAGTTTTTACAGCATTAAGTAGTATGCATGACTTCTGTATGGTTTCGTTTAAATCAAACAAAACATGCTGATTGTCACAAATCAATTGACAAAAAGGACATAAGTTCACAGAAAAGAATAGATAATTATAACCTATACTCACACCAAAGCTCTCTCCGTTTCTCTGGTCTTTTTTCGAACGTAAAAGAGATATTGATATGAGAATTCGTTTAGACATTTACGCAAAAAGAAGTCGTTCAGAGTGGTGAGGATGATAAACGAACGGATCGCAGATTGCACAATGGATTCGAATGACCGATTGGAAAACGTTATACGATGGGGAGGATGTGCTTATCTGCGAGTCTCGGGATCAAATTGTCAATTTGAATTAAAAATACAAGATTGCGAGATGGTATACTGTATGTATTTCTGCATTTAAGCAGGTGCCTATCGCAGATAAAATGATTTATATACAAGAGTCCACATAATTATCATAAGGTATGTGTGTGGGCGGGGCCGGGGTAGTCGGACACATTACCAGAGTCGAAGCACAGTAACACCAGATTCTTTCTGTTGGCACAGGGTGGATCACCATCGATTAATCGCTATTCCTTCCACAATTTGTAGTCACCACGAGCTCCTGGTCACCTCGAGTCAACAGATAAAATTTGATATTATCTTGACTCTATTCTGGCAATCTGTTCGACTATTTCCGCCCTCACGACTCCCGTTCTGACATGTAAATCGGTTTTTGCTGTGAGCACCAGTTGAGATTCAGCAAAAAAATGATTCTAAAACGACAACATGCAATTTCGTAATTTTGTAGTCTTCGTTCAAAATAAACACGACTGACACGATTGACAGACCCCGGGTGTAAGAGCCTAGGCTTTTTTTCAACAGACCACTGAACAGATTAAGCAAACCGTAAAGCAAAATGTGAGATAGTTCTTTCCGGAATGAGGAACAGTCAGAGGGTGCGTCTCGATTTACCATCATGAATTTGGTTTGATAAAGACTATTTGATAGTATTGTCTACTAGAATTCCTGGAGTTCACTTTGGAGAAGAGCTCATCATTCATTATCAATCCATTATCCGCGAAGAAAAGATTGCGGATACATTCCACAAATTTCACTTAATTTAAACAAACCCAGAATGAGATGAGAAGATACGAAATTGCTCAAAATTAGAACCGTCCCTTGCCCAATATTACGTCGTCTTTAGAAGTTCCGGAAAAATGACAATCGTAAAACTCCCGAACTCATGGTCAAATGCAACGAAGTTGTTCCAGTTTAACTTTACACAAAGTAATTTTCTGGATCAACCAAAAGAATACAGTTCATCCAGGGAGTCCTGATTTGGGAACCGATTTAGAAAAGAAAAATGAATAGCTTCTTACTTTGTTGTTCTCCAGTTATTTTCCCTGGCTTACTCAAACAAGATTTCAAAGTCTTAGGCCGCAGTCTAATTATTAGTGGCCGCTTTTCTTCTATTCCTGTAAAAGAGTTAGCTGTAAAACTTTCAGAGTATCATATAACTTCATGTGTCAAATCTGCGGAGAGGATTCTCACAGACCTTGACCAGGCATTGCACGCAGAACTGACAAGTTGTCGCTGCCATTCTTTCACACGCTCCCAATTCCGCCAAATTTCATCACG